CTCGAGCTTTAGTGGGGTTGGTGGAGACGTTTGGTCGGATAGTCACAAATTGTTATGATCCTTTCAGGCTCTGAAGAAGGCGATTCCGCCGAAACGTCAGCCTAATAAAGAATACTTTAAAAACCTCGTGAAGAGTTCAAGAAAGCAGTAAACTCAATGATACAATTATGCCGAGGTTTTTAGAAAGCCGTACATGGATCTCATTAGTCTGACCTGCGTCTTCAGAGATAGGGCGATATCCAACATCGTTTACCACTTCCACCCACAGGCCAGCACCACTAGGGGCTTTCCCGAGCTAAAAAATGCGCTACCAATTGATGTAGGATCTACTGAACTGTTACAGAGAAATATCTCAAAAACCAAAAAAGACGAGGAGCCTGTAAAATACAGCGTTGGAAAACATAAGAAAACTCAAAACAAAACCTTCTTCTTGTTACGTTGATTGCAGACGCTTCTCATTTGCTGCCTTAGAGCTCCTACTTCCGTTGATTTTGGAAGAAATGGTTCAACAGCTTCCTTTGCTTTACCAGCTAGGTGCACTATTGCGTGTTCCATGCGATTTCCCACAACCTTGAAATACGAACACTCATGTATGACAATTATGGTAAGGAGCCTAAGGACGTGATGTCTGAAGAACTACCTCGATCTTGGGGAACCTGTCTGCATTTGGCACGTAGACGACCAAGCCATCTTCACTGTTAGGAATATCTCTGAACTCCAGATTTGAGAGCATATTATGCGAAAATCAAAAAATTAAAACTATAAAAGAAGAATTTAATTGAAGAGAGTAAATCCAAAATTAGAATGGAGACTGGAAAATGACTGAAAAATGAAATATCCATGCCAACTTACGCACCGCCATAAACAATATCTTCCAATGTCACAAACCAAAACTGTCTGCATTTCTGGTAGATCGGTTTGATGCCGATAATGGAGGAGCAGCTCGTCGTCTTAAAAAAAGTAATTCACGTCGTGTTTGTGGGTGAACAAGAAACAACAATGAAAAGTGAGATACTTTCGAAATCACCTGATAAGGTGGAAAGTTCACCATTGAGCAACTCAAAAAGTCCAACCAGCCGAGCTGACCTCAGTTTTTCGAAGGCCACTGCAAAGATTAGGAAGAAATCGCTTGAAACAATTGTTATCATTTGATCTCTCTCCTATACAACCACCGACTCGACTTCAAAATTCAAGTATGGAGTACAGAGTCAATGAAGTCCCCATCATTTTTTTTTT